CAATACAAGCGCAAACTACGGCTAAAGTTTCATAGAATTCTAATGTTTCGTTACGGAGTTATGCATGATCAACGAAATTTTAAGGGGTGGTCGGAGACTTTTGGTCACCCACTGTACATACAAACATATACATATATGAATAAAAGAGGAAATGGAAAGACGAATAAATCAAAAACCAATGTCCAATGATAGATAGTTCAATATTATAGTTCACAGTGCCCAAAAATATGCCAGATTGGCTAAAAAAAGAGAAGAAAGGGGAGACGGAAGAAGGGGGGAAGAGAAGGGAAGGGGAAGAACTGTTCTGCATTCTGCAGTCATTTGTACGTGGCGAATGTCACTTGCCAGAGAAAAAAAAAAGTGGTGGAGTAACTTGTAGTGTCTTTTTTGATAGAAAAAAATGTCCCTAAACTGATGGGTGGAACGATCTCGCATCACGCTTTCGATTACTCCATTCCTTTTTGCCCTCGTCTCAATCTCATAATGCATCTCGATCCCATTTCATTGATATAGAAACCTCCTTTTCTTTCAACTTAACAACACCCGCTTCTGATGACCTTCTCTTCTGTTATATATACTGATTTGTATTTAGTAGGTGGCGTAACCGTTCCCGGGCGTTGCTTTTGACGTTCAAGAATCTCGGAAGCAAGAGCTTTCCCTGCTTCCTCGATGTTCTTTTTTTCTTTTGCCGATGTGTAAAACCTTGAGAGAAGAGAAATGCAAAAACAATGGTGTAAACTTTTTTGATCATATTGTAATCAACAATACTTAACAACGTCTAATCATCACATCTTTTTTCAAAATCAACACACCATTTACAGAATCCATGCTGCTCGCAAAATTTGTTCAAGACTGATTCTGCTTCACGGGCAGTCTCTTCCGTCACAAGATCACACTAAAAGAAAAAAGTGTTAGGTTAGGGGACGGATACGCACAAGTCATAAATGATCATGTTTGCGATACGCTTTCTTTTCCGTACGAAAAAAAAAAAAAGCTCTCACATCAGTTCTTACCTTGTTGGCCAACAATACGACAGGAATGGGACCCCCACCCAAAACATCAGGTAATGCGACCTTTTCATCCAAGTCTTTCTTCCATTTTGTAACAGACTCGAACGTTGGTGGTTGTGATATGTCGTAAACGACTAGTGCACCCAGAGCTTCTTTGTAGTACACCTGTGTGATTAATTAATTGCATGTTGTGTGAGTGAGAGGGACTGTATGTTTGTTGTAATAGATATTTCTTAAACAAATGGTCTTTGTAATGTATATGGTTTTTTGTTTTCGTTTTTGTTTTCGTTTCTTTTTTTTTTTTCACATACTCTCGTCATGCTTCCAAATCTTTCTTGTCCGGCAATGTCCCATAACTGTAACCTTATCGTGGTGTTGTCGTCGTAGTCAAGAACTTTCAAGGCAAAGTCAACCCCGATCTAAATATAACAAATGTGTAATGCAGTTTAGTTATATAATGTCGCACTAACTTTATAATTTATATTGTTTACAGTAATATTCTATCAGCCACGTAATTTCCTTTTCCCAAATAATACTTGTGACCCGCTTAATGACGTATTGATGTGACATTATAGTAACATTATTACAACATGTGAACCATATACGCCGAATGATGAACGGGCCACAGTTTGACGAAATACTTTGTCTATGACATGTAGTAGTAGTAGCAGTAGTAATGGTAGTTGTGGTGGTAGTAGTAGTAGTAGTAGTAGTAGTAGTTGTTGTTGTTGTTGTTGTTGTTGTTGTCGTCGTCGTCGTTGTCGTCGTTGTCGTCGTTGTCGTTGTTGGTTTGTTTGTTTGTCGGGAGTGTGTGGGGAGGGGAGGGACTGCTGGCATAACTTGTCGAAAACTAAAATCATTCGAATTACCTCGAATTACTTATCATACGGAAATTGTGTGGCTTTGCGATTATGACGGGGCATTTTATCCGTGCGGAAGTTTCACCTTTTGTTTCCGCAACCCTTTCCAAACACTCACCGTACTCTTGGTATGCATTATACTAGTATTATTTACATAGCTCTTCACAAAACTTGTCTTTCCTGTTGCCGGGTCACCGACCACAAGTATTTTGTAGAGGTATTCTGTCTTGAGTGTTCGACTGCTTGAACGTGAGCGAGAGTGTGTAGACTAGAAGAAAAATATACAATGATTATTGTATTAATATCAAATCGATCATAAAAATATCAACAGAATATGTGTATAATAAAGATAATATAAATACCATCGTGTTGTATTTTGTTGATGTAATCGTATTAGCAAGTTTTTGTTGGTTTATGCGTTGTCACGGATTTCAGTTTTCAAACAAATTTAATAAATC